CCTTGACAAAATTTTATCTGCTTACTTTCTCCGATGTATTTATTGATTTGAAAAGAACACGAAGGTATAATCGTTGCTGTTTATTCTTTCGCTTCATTCGTCATCCATATCGAATACGATGAATACCGGAAACTTGTTCTAATCGGGCATAAATTGTTGTAACAAGTTAAGTATATATAGTCAATTTGAAGCTTATTAGTTGCATATAAAGCATTATTAGTTCGCAGAAGACAATTGTTTTATTGATTATTATTCATAAAACAAAAAAAACAAAAAAAATCTTCTTTTGTTTTTATTATTACTGTTACACAATAAAGAAAAATATTGTCTAAAACTATATAGTTATACATCAAATGACAAAACAAGTGACTAAATGAATGCGGAAATAATATGACATCCTTTTTTTTCTATTATTTAATCTATACTATATGTCTATGATTAACAAGAAAATATAATATATCGAATAGGAATATTATAAGTTTTTTACTTCTAAAGCATACATGAAGAAAAAAATAGAATAAGAAGAAATTTTCTTTTTCATTTATTATAGATAATAACGAGAAGACTAAAGAGACTTAATGATGAAAGAAAGAACGATATTTTAACTTGAGTTGCTTGATTACATTTTTGACTTGTACAACATGTTATACTTTCGAATGACTTCGGCTGATAATCCTCGGGTACTGTACATTGTCCTTTTGATGTTGAACAGCCAAGATGGACTAATCGACTAACATTATTAATCTGCTTATACATTTTCTATAAAATAAAAAACAAGTAAATGAATGTTATATTAAACATATAAAGAGAAATTGACCTACATAGCACATATTTATGCCTGTTTCACAAACACGAGTAGTAATATTATCAGATTTTATTAGATGACAATCTGTACATTCATGACAAGAAAATGGCTCCGGTGCCGCAGTTGTTATTGTGCTAGTTTCCGTGTTTATGCCATCCTTGGCTGCTATATTATTTGTTTCATTAATAACTTGTTGTGGAGGATTACCATTAACAGAGAGCTGGACTTGTACCACGTCTGACTGTGGTTCCATGTCAGCTAAAACATGACTATTATCTTGACAAAAAATAATACCGATATATAAATATCCTATTTTTCGAAAATGAAAAATAATAAATAAATAAATGATATTCGTCAATAATTATTCTACACATACCAATTGATCCAATAAGCCACCAAACAAACATATTGTTAAAAGAATCAAATTCTTTGTTTTATGCCTTTAATAAACCAACAGAAGCTCAAGTAGTTATTATGTTTAATGGTTTTCTTCTTATAAACAGATGCACAAAATACGGAAAATAGAGAAACAACTGACGTCTCTTCTTTTGGCTATTGCAACTATTCGTCAAGTTCCCTTCTTATTTTTCTTGCGTTCAGTTTTTTTTCCCTTGTTCGTCCTTTTTTTCTCAACGCCTTATTATCTATTATAGATGTTGCTAGACCAAAATAATCATACAATGATGAAGACAACAGCAACCATAATCTAAATAAAATGCGAATGTTATAGAAAGAAAAAGTTAGAGAATAGGAGAAATTTTCTTGATGGAGCAAATATACTCACCATTATATTTTTGCAACAAAATAATAGCTTGTCGTTTTTTTCTCGTTTTCCTCTCATGCAAGTTAAGACACGAATACAACTGAGCTTTGTATGTTTTTTTTCCTTCTTTTTATCTATTCTATTCGAACATGTCATATGTGCAATGTTCATCCATTAAAAGACATGTCATTGTGAAAGTTTATTACACACAAGAATTACTCTTTTTTTGTTGTTCAATATATATTTGTTGACATGCTCTTATATCTGTATGAAATGACACATTCTTATTGATATATAAAATGTAATTTATGATTACAAAAAACACATAAGAAAAATTTTCGAATTGTAAAGATCAATTTATAAGTTGTTAATAGAAGGATTTTTATTTCATATAAATAAATATGTGACAAAATTAAATTTGTTTGATATCAATTTGTATCAATTTTCTATATAATAAAATTCAAAATTGTTTCCTTTTCTTTGTTGGTAAATAGAAAAAAGTTTTGGATAATTATTTCAATTTTTAGTATGAATGAAAATTTAAGAACATTAGCATAAAATATAAATCTATTCGAAAGGTCGGATTCTAGCGCCATCATCGCAATCGATTTAATGACAAAAAGGTAACCAATGGAATACTTGTATAGTTAAATCGTATGATTGTATGGTTTCGTCGACACAAAATTTCTTTCATTCTTAAAATTCTATTGCACTTTTATGGCTTTCGATTGAAGAATATTATCAAATCAGTTAGCTATAAATTACAAGATAAAAAAAAAAAGAGAGAAAGAAGATATACTAACCTTTTCATTTCTTTACGTATTTAGATAGATTAGAAAAGATTACATGAATAGAATAATATTATAATTTTTTTTTCTTATTGGCTGTTAATACGAGAGCTTAATCGTCCTCTCTTTAAATATTAAACACTATGCCATTAACCGAACGTCATGATATTAGTGCAGCAGCATCTGCTGCGACCACCGGTGGTCTACGTGGTGTTATTGCGGGTAACAGATAAAAAACAAACTATTATTCATGAAAAATAGTAATTAACTCTTTCATTGATTTCCTAGGAGGTATCACAGGCGCTATTGAAATTTGTATAACATTCCCAACAGAATTCGTGAAAACTCAATTGCAATTAGATGAAGGTTCTAGTAGACGTGGTGAACCACGAAGATATAATGGTGTTATTGATTGTGTTAAACAAACAGTAAATAAACGTGGTTTTTTTGGTCTTTATCGTGGTCTTAGTGTACTTTTATATGGATCAATACCTAAAAGTGCTGTTCGGTAAAATATAAATTTAATTATTGAAAAAATTCTAAATAAATATTTATTTTTTGTTTGAAAAGATTTGGTGCTTTTGAAGAACTTAAAAGATATTCAGCTGATGAACGTGGTCAATTAACATCAACAACTCGACTTTTATGTGGTTTAGGTGCTGGTGTATGTATTTGTATTTAAATAAACTAATTTCTTTTATTGTTCCTTTTTTGTTTTTTATTGTAAAGTTAGCCGAAGCTGTCTTTGTTGTTACTCCAATGGAAACTGTTAAAGTTAAATTTATTCATGATCAAAATTTAGCAAAACCAAATTATCGTGGTTTTTTTCATGGTGTTCGTGAAATCATACGGTCTGAAGGTTAGCATTAATAATTATATATATATATATATTAATGTCAATGAATTTATTTATTTGTTTGTTTGTTTTTCTTTTTCACATAAGGTATTCGAGGTACTTATCAAGGTTTAACAGCAACAATGCTTAAACAAGGATCAAATCAAGCTATACGATTTTTTGTTATGGAAACCTTAAAAGAACGATATAGAAAATATACAGGAAAAGGACCAAATGAACTTGTTCCAGTACTTATAACTGGTATTTTTGGTCTTATTGCTGGTGCAGCTAGTGTTTTTGGTAATACACCACTTGATGTTGTTAAAACACGTATGCAAAGTCTTGAAGCTTCAAAATATAAAAATACATTAGATTGTGCGATTAAAATTATGCGTAATGAAGGACCACTAGCGTATGTTAAAAATTATTAGAAAAAAAAAATCTGAAAAAATTTTTTTTTATTTAATTATTTTATCTAGATTTTATAAAGGCACAGTACCACGACTTGGTCGAGTTTGTGCTGATGTTTCTATTACATTTATGATCTATGATAGATTTATTGAATCATTTAATCTCATTTGGCCAAAATAAGATTATCTAAGATATAATCAGGACTCTTTTTTTGGCATATATATCACTGAGAAAAAAAATCAATATGATAGCTTTTATCTAATTGGGCTCATTTGTATCTCATCTTTTATTATTATTATTTTTTCTTTTTTATTTAAAATTTTTCCTTTCTTTGTCATTTTCATTTGTTATAGACAGGCAATTTTCTTTTCTGTTCTTCTCCTGTTAATATAAACGAGCTGTTTTTTTTTTCGAGTAAAACAATTATATACAGCTTGAAGATGAAAATAAACATCTATTTGACGAGAAATGATTTTGATATGAAATAAAAACAAATGAACGAATTTTTATCATTAGGATAAGGTTAAACCTTTTTATTTTAATATGAATGAAATCAAGAACTGATTAATAAAAATATGATTAGTTATTTTTATGCAGACTTTTTTTTTTATTCGTTGTATAAGTGTTACCCTAAGGGTTTTTTTCTGTAAAACTACTTCAAACAATGTTTTAATCCTTTACTTCTAGAACGACTACATAAGTGTCACTTATGAAATAAACCATTGGAATAGCATACTGATATGTTCGATATATCGAAGAGACATATTCTTGTTTATTCATTCTAGTGATCATTGGGGTAGAACGACTTGAGAAAAGTGAGTATACGAAAGATGCACATGGAACGAGAAATGAAAATTTGAAAATAAAACAAACCGTGTCAACTTCATTACGCCCACATATGCACCTTCAAATAGAATCATGTATATTTATATCTATAATGAAGATTTGAAATAATACTGCCAATGAAACATCTCATGAGGGAATCTTTCAGGTGTCAAATCGTTTTTCAATTGAGACAATGTACATTTGATGTATAATAGAAAAGTCAACAAAATATTTTTTTTTTTTTACATATGAGAAAATTTTCGAATATTGAATATTTCAACATAGGAGATATTAGAAAAGTGACAACTTGTCCGATGAATTAATCTCATGGAAAATTTAAAGTCGATTTTTGTATGTGATCACAGTTTTTCATTGAAAAATCCGATAAACTTTCGATATGTTAAGAAGAAAGGCTTGAAAAATCAGACTTTTCTATCATACATCGAATGAACATTGTCTGTATCAAATCCCTTTTTGATCCCTGGACAGATTTTCTCATCAACAAAATCGAAAGTTACTTTAACCCTATAAGTTGATACACATAGTCAAATGAATGTAATCATAAACATTAGATCAAGGTGAGCTAGAAAGTATGAATGGTAAGTTATTTGATTCTTTAAAAGAAATACCTACGAGAAACTATTAACCTCCAGGGAATAACTCTTGAATAGTAATTTCATTTTGTTTTGTTCAACAATTCTAAAGTCAGGAGCATTTAATTAATCGTGCTTGACTATTCTCAAGCGGCAATTCGTCGCATTTGCTGAGTTTTTTTTTTTATTAGAGTATTTAGAAATACTTGCTTAATTGGATAATGATCAAATAAAAGCAAAACTAAATAAACAATTTATATACAAATGTAAATCTTGTTTTTTTTTTGATTAATTAACATGATAGTTAAGTTTTGTTTTAATCTTTTTTTCAATATTTAATGTTTGTTCTAAATTGGGATGATTAATTGGCAATATTTTTCTTTGAATATTTAATGCTTGTTCTATTTCATTATATGCTTGTTCATATTCTTGTAAATCAATATATATCAATGCAAGATTATAATAAGATATTGCTAAATCAGGATGATCCATAGCTAAAGATTGTCGTCGAATATCATGTGCAGCTTTATAATATTCTAATGCTTGTTCATATTCAGTTGAATTTCCATCTAAACGATAAGCTAATATTTGATGAATACGTCCTAAATTATTTAAACTTGTTGCTAAATCAGGATGTGTTGATGGTAAAAGTTTTTGTCGTATATTGTAAGCTTTTTTTTGATATTTAAATGCTCCTTTTATATCACCCATATCATCATAAAGACAACCCATATTATTATATGTCCATGCTAAATTAAGATCTTGATTTAATGATAAATGTTTATAAATAGATAAAACACGTTTATATAATTGAAGTGCTAAATCATGTTGATGTTGTCGATGATAAATAGTACCCATTGATATAAGAACAGATGATTTGAGATCTATTGGAATTTGTTCAGTTTGATTTAATGCATTATGATAATAATCTAATGCTCGCTTATAATCACCTTTTTTTTGATAAATATTTCCAATTTTAATTAATATTCTAAAAAATTTTTCTGAATTTTGTAATTGACATTCTAATGATTGTTTATAAAATTTTAATGCATTTTTATAATCACATTTCATTTCATATGCAACACCTAAATTATCAAGTGTAAAACCAATTTTATCTTGATAAATATTTTCATTATTTTCATTATTATATAAATCTAATGCTTTCATATAATATTCAATAGCTTTATCATAATTATGTTGATCTAAATATAAAAGTCCCATATTATTCAAACAAGTAGGTATCCGCATTTTTTGATCAGAATTCGTATATATTTCTAAAGAACGATGAAATAAATCTAATGCTTTTTCATATTCATTTAAATGATGATAGATAAGACCAACATTATTGCAACTATCAGCAATATGTGGATGACTTGATGGTAAAAGTTTTTCACGAATATTTAATGCTTTTAAACAATAATCTAATGCTTGATTATATTGTTTTATATAATGAAAAACTAAACCAATACTATTATAATTTGTTGCCATTGTTGGATGTTCAATAGTTGGTAAATGTTTTTCATAAAGCTTCATAGCACAAAATAAATATTCCAATGCACGATTATATTCATGTTTATGTGTAAATATAACACCTATTGCATTATTACTATTAGCTAATAATAATTCTGATGTTTGTAAATGTTGTTGATAAATTTGAATAACATTAGAATGATATTCAAATGCTAAATCATATTGTTTTTGTTCTAAATAAATTAATCCAAGATTATTCATTGTTCGTGCAAAATCAAGATAATTTGTTGGATATTCTTGTTTTAATATATTATAAACAGTTAAAAAATCTTTTAATGCTTCATTAAATAAACCTTTATAAAATTTTACACGACCAATATTTGTATATAATGATATTTTATCATCAACTGTATTTGATGAAAGTAATTTTTCAAAATAAACTTGTGCTTGATGATATTGTCCCATTTCAGTTAATAATAAACCAAATATAAGTAAAACATTACCTTTTTCCATTTCACGTCTATTTGCTTCAATATATTTTTCAACAATTTGTCGAGCTTCATTTGTTAAATTCATATGTATTATCCAAACATTTTTATTATCATTAAAATAAACTTCTTTTATTTTAAATGCACAACCAATATCAAATAAAACTTCTTCTTCTTCAGGATAAACACTTAATGATGATATATCAGCAAATACAACATCATCTAAATGTAAATCAGCTTCAATTATAAATAATGTTGGTAAAACATCAACTGAACGTTTTGAAGTTTTTAATGCAAATTGTAATGCTAAATCATAATTACGTGTTGTTGATAAAAAACCATTTGTTGATGTTAATGAACCAGTATTTGATTGAAAACGAATTATTTCATCTTTAGTTAATTTTAAACCACGATATAATGTTAATATTGATTGATTTATTTCTTTTGTTCGAAATATTTCATGTTCAACAGCTAAACGTTTACATAAATCTTGTATATAATAACGAAATATAAATAATAATTCAATATCTTCAGTTCGTAATGCTTTATTACATAAACGATAAATAAAACATTGTTTTGTATACCAACGTATTGTATCATCATGTGTATATGTTTGAATAAAATCATCAATACTTTTTAATTCTTCTATATTACCTCGATAATATTGTTGACATTGTTTTATCATTTCATCTTTAGCTTCTTCAGATCTTGGCATATGAAGAAGAACATCTTTAAATAATTGAAACCAAAGAAATGATGCCGATTCTTTTGATAAATCTCTTGTTGATTTTTGTTTTTCATATAAACTAAATGTTGATAATTGTTTATGTAAATAATCTAATTCTTCTCGAATAGATTTTACTAATTGATCTTCATTATCAAATATACCAACTATTTTTGAAATATATTTTGAATTAATAAATTTATTTTTATATTTTAATATATTCATACAAAATATAAATATTGAATCAATTTGTGATAAATTATATATTTCTTCAAGACATTGTTCAGCATATTCACCAGATACAATAAGAAATATACGTTCATTATTTATTGAACGAATATAAGTTATACATGGTTCAAGTTCAGTATAAAGTACAACATAATCAGTTATTTCACGTAATGTTGTTCGTGTTGTATCAATAGTTTTATCTAACCAAATTAATGTTACATCTTCTTTATTTTCAAATGTATATGATGCTGATTCTGTAACAGTAGTTAAATTTGAAAGACGAACAGATTTACTATTACTAATATTGTTACCCATTAAACATCAAATGATAATTGATATAAATGCAAAAGAAATATAATTTTACGTATTTTAAAAATATTATCAAATCGATGAATCTCATTTTCGTTATTGTAAAAATATGAAGGACATTAATACTTTTTTTTTTTTTGCTTAATTATGTCAATCAAAGGACGATGATTGGTGAAGATGAATGTAAATGATAAATTTATAGAGTATTGAGTGTATTCAATGAGTTTAAAAAATATTTTCTTTAAATTAAGTGTAATCTCTTTTTTTTTCTTAGTGAAAAAAGAATCTATCTGAATTATTTAATAATCTATCGAGAATATTTTCTTTTGCTTTTTTTTTTCAATCATATGAAATGAAACAATAATAATAAGATAAAATGCCATTATATATATCTCTATTAAATAAATTTCATATATTTGTTGCCTTGCATAAAATTCCTTTTTTTTTATTTTATTTCTTTTACTCTTAATTTCAATTTTATTCAATATTGTTAGTTACAAATAAGTAACGCTTGAATAAAAATGTTTAATTCTACCAATTACTGTAGAATTGACTCAAGCCACGTCTCCACACTTCTTGATCATCTCTATTAAAATAAAAAGACATTGATTATTTATTTATTTTTTTAAATATTCTATATTTTTTTACTTACCCTATTCGATCAAATTTTTCATTATCCATTGTACGTAAATCTACAAGAAAAAAATTTATTCAAATAATTATTTAAAATTTAATTAAAACTTACAATTACATAGACGACTTTTTCGAAACATGCATAAATCCATATAATTAACATTACTTAATGATCTTTTATGACGAGCGACTGTCTCTGGAAAAACACTACGACTTTGAACAACTTCTAGAAATACAAACCATCAAAAAGAAAAAAAGAGTTTTCTTCTCTATTTAAAATATAAACTTACGAAATAAAATGAGTAGTGTAACAAGAAATAAAAACACCAAGCGAACCAATTCCTGCATATTGAATAATTGTCTTGTATATATGCCACTAATCTTCGTAAACGCACGTAAGGGTACTCTAGGACAGAGAACAACAATTGTGAAATGAATAACTACTTTCTTCAACTCTTATTCGTCTTTCTCTTTCTCGCTGTCTCTCTCTCTCTCTCTCTATCTGTCTCTTGCGCTCTTCTTTTTATCCTCTCAATCGTTCAAAAATCAACAAAAATAAAAATAAGAAAATCGAATTATTAGTAAATAAGCCTACACATATATATTACCTATTAACATTAGATTCAATCAATTATTTTATGACTATTTATCATTGAATAGAGAGATATATGAACAAATATTAAATAATGAAAATATGAAAATATGCAATAAGAAAATAAGAAAGAAAAAGCAATCAAACAGTTAAAATAAGTTCTTCTTCTTCTATCCCTACTCATACACATATTTCCATTTTTGTCAAGTGCTAATCAGCACGCGCACCCTACATTGTCACAATTGAGATTTTCTTTTCTTCCTAAACACATACTATATTTCGATTTGCTGAAAGCAATATATATATTAATATAGACTAACAAAAGTCTATAAAATGAATGTTAATTAGCTTTTATATTAATCATAAAATATCACATCAGCATTCTCATTATTAGTTCAAATAGAACAAAATTCAAATTCTTGATTGTGACAAATATAATTACTTTATAAAATTAAAAGACAAAAGAAAGAAAGCAAACCATAGCATAAATGTTAAGTTTTTATCCAACTTACCTTGATAAAATATAATATTACATATCTATATAGATATGGTTATTCTAATTTCAGTTAATAATGTCATCATTATATATGAGCAAAGTCTTTTCATATCCTAGAGAGATGTAAATTTCCTTCCGAGTCTCTATCTTTTGACACAAACAAGTTATTTTAATTTATGGGTTCTTTTTTATAGAAACAAAAATTAAATTATTTATATTTTAAAATAAGATGTTACAAATCTTTGACATATAGGACATTTATCAATAAGAGAAAAACAATTTTGACATATGCATGCATGTTTACATGGTAATAAAACATGATTAACGCGTTCAGTTAGACAAACAGCACATGCATCATCAGAGATAAAAGCACCTGGTGTATATATATCCTATTTGATGAAGAAAACAAAAATAATTTATTTTCAATGAATAGAATTGAATATCAAGATTTACTTGTACGACAAGTGATTGTCCATTAGCTAATTTAGAAATTCGTCCTATAACTTTCGTCGGAGGATCTTGTGGTATCGATGATTTTACATGTAAAGTAACTACTTGTATTGGCTAAACATAAAAAAAAGATAATAGAAACTACTTATGTGATATTCAATTATTTACCAATTGAAAAAATTCTTGTGAATTTTCATCAATAAAACTATGAACAACAATAACTAAAGGATATTCTCGACGTGTTGTATTATTTTGTATTAAATAATTTTCAGCATCTGAAAATTTAGCACATTGAATATAATCACCCGTCGTTTCAAAACTAAATAAAAAAATTCATATGTTTAATTTCATTTGAAGATTTTTTTTTTTTGTTAAAAACACAAAAAACTTTACTTAAATATTTCTTGATGTGCAGAATGATTTTTCAAAAAACGATTTTTCAATAATGATAAACGAAAATCTATTGAATCTAATTCAGAATAAAAATTTTGTATATTTACAAACCAATAAACACGTAATTGACAACGAATTTGTGTTTCAAGACGAATATAAACGCCATCTAATAAAGTAATAAATTGTTTTTTATTTTTTTGTCGATCATTTTTTTATTCAATATCTACCTTTAAATGTTGATCGATACTCTTCAATATTAATTCTATATGGACTATCAATTCGATCTACAGGTATATTATTTGCTGTTTGAGATATTGAGATATTAGTCGTTTCATCTGTGAAAACATCCCGCCGATATATGTAAACAAAAAACAAATAGAAGAAATTAAAAATAGAGTAAGCGATAAATTATTAATCATTTTAAAATACCTGGCAACAAAAACCATCGTCATAAATAGAATAAGCATAAATATGTAAGGTAAAATTTCAGCGAAATCGATCATATTGAATTTTTTCGAACAAAGAAAAAAATATGAGAATCTTCAAGTAGAAATATCTATCTTTTTTTATTTTTCATAATAGAAAAAACAAAAATAAAGTTACTAGCAAAATTTCCTCTTCTTTTTTCTTTCTTGTTTTATCTGCACAAAAAAAAACAACAACTTAAACAAAAAACGAAAATCAACATAACAAAAAAATGAAAATCAACATAACAAAAAAATGAAAATTATTTTTTTGTCAAAAAAATCATATCATCAGCAATAATACTTGTGACATAACGATCTTGACCACTTTGTTTATCTTTAATTAAATTATGATGAAGACGACCATGAATATATAATCTATCACCTTGACGAACATATTTTTCAGCATTTTCTAATAAACGTGGTTGAAATATAGCAATACGATGCCAATCAACACGTTGTTTTATTTCTCCACTTGTTGCACTTGTTCCTGCATATTCATTTGTCGCTAGATTAAATGTAATTACTTTATGTTTTTGTGTTCCACCAACTTTAGGATCTGCACCAACTCGACCTATTAATTGAATACGATTTAATGATCGTTCACGACCTGCTGATGTTGGTGTTTCCTCTGGAATATCATTTTCTGGTGGTACTTCATTCAAAAAATGTTCATCATTAGTTTTCTCTGTTGTCGGCTTTTTTGAAGCATTTTTTGCATTTGTTTGAGTCGTACGAATAAATATTGGTTGAAATGAACGTAAACTAATCAATTTTATTAAAGACATCTATAAAAAAGAAAAAATAAATAATTTTATTCAATAACCCTTTTTCCACAATTTTATTGTATATGATTAAAATAAAAATTAAATATTCATGCAGTATTATAAATAAAGCAAAAAATGTATATATATATATATATATATATGTATACATATTTAATATTTTTTCTCCGTTTCGTGATCAATTGTAAATGTTGATAATAAATTATCATTATTTATTCCCATAATTGAAGTTTGTGTTGACATTGATGGTCGAGCCGATGGATTAGATTCATAAAAAAGACTATCATCTTCTAGTAGTTCATCAGTATTAATTCTTTTATATTTAAATGTTTTAATAAAATATAAAATACCAGTAAATGCAAGTAAAGCACCTTAAAAAAAGGAAACAAATGATTTCATATAAATTGATAAATGTAGGAAGGAAGGAAGGAAGAATACCCCTGGCTTTCAGCTACCTTACAGTAAGAGCTGCTGCCAAGCAGCAGATTCAATAGCTCGATATTTTCCTTACATCTATAACTGACCGTAGCTCTGGGCTGGAGTTCATCGAAGTAGTTTCGAACTTAGCCGAGTCCAGGTCCGAAAACTTTAGATTCGATAGGTTCTACCCTACACATTTCTCAGACGATTCGTCTGACAAATGTGTAGAGTGTACTAGTCACCGAATACAAAAAACTCGGAAAAAAACTATCTCGTTTCTTCGGAGTGACTATTCTATTCCAATTAGAAAATTACATTGAAAGACAAAATTCTTAAACTCTCTATACATACTAACTAACCACAAGAGCAGATGAATGTCACAACGTAGTCAACACTAGAGCCCATCGGATCTTACTCGGACTGGATTGGGCCCACGTCTAAAAATTTTGTTTCGATCGGATCCGAGTCCAAAAATTCTTGGACCCGATGGGCTCTAGTCAGCATACGATCGGACGAGTATTTCGAGACAAATAGTCGTTAGCAACTTGTTCAGGGTCATTTCATATAGTCGCTCAGCCCTGATGGCTTGATAAACATAGTATATTTATATTCTTACCGACAGTCTTAACATCTGTTCGTATAATCGGTGAAAGCCATGTTGGTACAAAAAATGGTATTGATAAACCAATGTAAATGATTGTCTTGAGCCAATTGTCAATAGGAACACAGCATACCCAATAGAAACATGCTTCACTTCTAAAATTTTTGTAATTTTTAAAAGAATATATTCCGATGAATGATTAACATAATATGGAAAAATAAAAAAGCCCATTTACCCGACAAAATAATAAATATACACGTATGTATAGAACCATTACCACTAATATATCCTTATTTTTTTTTCCCGAATATCGAATACTGATAATATATATGTTTACCGGAAACAATAAATACAACAAGTTATACACTTATCAAGTATCCAAAGAATCTCCAAATAAGCAAAAATAATTGTCACAATTCTAAAAAAAATGATTGTTTTTCTTTTTATATTATTTCTTCCTCTTCGAAAAATCAAAATACATACGTAATATATATTCGAAAGTTCCATGCACCGATTCCTAACCATTCCAAATATGTCACAAAAACAAAACCTGAATAAAAAAAAATATATATATATTCAGTTGATTTCAAATATCTAAAACTAACCAGTAAGTGTTATTAATCCAAAAATTCTTGCTAAGGCTGTAATAAAAATAAAGATACCTCCTCGTCGTTTATGATTTCGATAAAATTCGTTGTCAATCTTCATCTAGAAGGAAATATTATTTGTAAAGATGTTTTATCTAGTTTATTGTATGCAAAAAATAGATAGACAAAAAAAAACAAAAAGAAAAACAACAACGCCAATACACTATTTGTAGAGAACAAAACAGAAAAAGAAAAGCATAAACATTGACAAAGAAAAAAAATGGGATAATATCTTACAAAGAAATAGCAACAGAATTTATTTCATTTTTGTTTTTGCCTACGGTTTTTTTTTTTGAAATCACATATAGAGGATAGCGTCTAAATCTGTATATGTATGATTTAACAAATCATTAGATGGAACTACATTTGTTTTTATTTTTCTATCACCGGAAAAGGCTCGAGAGACAAATAATTAAAGAGAAAGAATAAATAAGTATACACACGATGACTAAAACAAAGCAAAAGCATGCATTTTATTGTATTGTGTTTTTTATGAATAAGATATAAATATATATCACAGGCCCTTTATTTGTTTCTTCATTTAGGTACATAAGGAATTTGAACAACACGCATTGCTTGTGGATTCGGCTGAGCAAATACAAGTTGTCCAGCTGAATTTTGTAAAAATATAGCACCACCTGATTGTTGCATAGCAGCTAATTGTTGAGCTTGAAGTTGAGCAGCAAGAGCTTGTTGCTGTTGTTGTAATTGTAATTGTTGTATTAAAGCTGCTGATGAATAAGCAACAGGTGGTCGAATAACTTGTACAAGTTGTCCATTATGTTGTATAAATTGAGGTTGTTGTTGTTGTTGTTGTTGGGCTTGTAATAATTGTGCTGTTGGATATTCAATAAAATGTTGAATACCACCTAGACGAAAAAAAAATAAAATTTATTTAGAAAAAGAAAATTCTTTTGTTTTTCGTTTACCTTGAGGTGTTCGCATAGCAACAACACGTGGTTGCTGAACAGCAGTTTGCATAGGCATATATAATTGTTGTGCTGGTTGAGCAATTGGTACTAATTGTGGATTCACATTTGTTGCTGATTGAATCATTACTGATTGTCCATCTTGTGTAAGTACAGTAGTTGTTCCACCTGGTGTTGTTTGACCAGATGTTGAACAACTTTCACCACCACTTGATGCTGCTGAATTTGGTGACATTTGTTGTTGTTGATGTTGTTGTTGTTGCTGCTGCTGCTGTTGTTGTTGTTGTTGTTGTTCAAATGTAATAGAAGAAGTATCAGGATTAGTTGTCATTTGTGGAGTAGCTGTAGATGTCATTTGAAGTTGATAAGTAGCTAATGCTGGACTTTGTGCTGCAACAATAAATGGACCCATTGACTAAATAGCAAAAAAAAATTGAAAAAATGAATTGAAATAATAAATTGTTTGTTTCTTTTTTTATATACAGATATTGTCGGTGATGAGATAATAGGCATTTGAATAAGTGGAAGTTCAGCTAAATGTTTTTGAGTTTCACGTTCTTCAATTAACTGTTGTGCTTGTATTTCGCTAATTAAACCATGATTTTTAGCTGCATGTATTTCAGCACGATACTAACAAAGTAAAATGTTTTTATTTAAAAAATATTTCAATATAGAAAATTAAATACTTTTAAATCATTGAGCATTTCAATATTTTCCGGATCATCCATATCCGGTGGAGTAAATGAATGTTCTTTATTAATTTTTTTCTAAATGAAAAAAAAAAGAAAAAAAGTTTTTCTTTTTAAAATTGGCTATAAGGTTATGTCTACGTAGAATTGCAGAGAAAGACTTCCGCTTATGTAATGATGTATGGAGTATCAAGGTCTACTGCGCGCTAGAGCCTGTCGCATTGGCCTTGAATCCAGGTGTGAAAATTTTAGACCCGATGAACTGTACCGCGCAACGTTGATCTGTGGATAAATGGCGCCACCTTGGTCATCTTCTTTTATAGGTGCGACAAAGGTGACATCATCTACCGACTGGCAATGGTATGTAGTAGAACTTGATAATGCGTAGATTATTCGATAGCAAAAGTCCTTTCTCTAAACGCCTATACATATCCGTTTTCTGTAGTAAAAAATCATCGAAAAAAAAAACAACTTAAAGTTGTGTTTACTTCAAATTCTGGTGGTAATTTTGGTCCAATCATTGGTTCACTATCACCATCGATATCATCATTTTCATTTTTTTTTAATGAATATGCAGGAGTTTGTTGTTTATTTTTTCCTTTTGTATTCTTTTTTTGTCCTATAGGACGTTGTTGATTTTGATTTATAGTTAAAATAATTGGTTCAGGTTTATTTTCTTCATTTGTTGTTGTTGTTGTTGTTGCTGTTGGTAATGTTGTTGTTGATGTTGCAATTGTTTCTTCAGTATTTTCTTCATTTGTTGAAGTTTTTGGTGTTGCAGCAATGAGTATTCGTGGTTGTTTATTATTAGGTAATTTTCGTGTTGTAATATTTGATGTTAAATTATATTTATTACCATTTCTATTTGGTGTTGCACGACGTAAATTTTCATTTGATTGAGCTCGAAGATGACGTGGACCATTACGAGCTCCACGACCACCACGACGTGTTGTAGCACCACCTCGTCCACTTTTACCATGATTATTTGTTTGTTGTTGATGATTATGATTATGATTTGAATGACGAGAAGATTTTTTATTATGACTTCGTGATCTTGATCGACTACGTGTACTACGTGATGATGTTGATGAACGTGAACTTCGTGAAGTTGATGAACGACGTCTTGAATAAGAACGTGATGAACGACGACTACTTCGACTACTATGACGTCCACGATGATCACTTGAACTCGATGATGAATGTGATGATGAACGAGATGAACCTACAAAATAAAAATTTATATTTCAAAAAAAACAAAAACAAAAATCCATAAAAATTCTAAACTAACGTGTTCGTCGACGTCGATGTCTTCGATGTGAACGACTTGATGAACGTGAACTATCAGATGATGTAGTTGAATAAGATGAACGTGAACTTGATGAGGATGAATGACGACGATGATGACGATGTCGTCGACGACTACTACGTCGTCTTCGTCTTGATGATGATGCTGATGTTGATCGAGAACCATGATCATCATTACCATTATGATCATCATTATCATTATTAGATTTTTTTTCATTTGTTGTTGTTGAAGCAACAGGTTCATCATTTTTAATTTCATCTATTTTAATATTTTCATCATTTATTATAGATACTGTTGTTGATGTTGTTGGTAATTCAACTGTTGTTATTATAGATTCTGTTGTTTCGTCTAATAATAAAAGATAGAAAAGAAAATTTAATATGAATTTTGTTTTTATTCAGTTTTTATTATTTTTTAGTCAAAGTTTAAATCGAATAAAATAATAAACAAAAAATAAAAATAAAACAACAAATTGCGCGCTCGCGTGTATATGTGTGTATGTTTAAGATGGATTTTGGCATCACATGCGTCAGAAAAGCAAAGAGCTCAGCTGTTTGCTATAGCGGCAGCAATGGCGATCAAAAGTAGATTACATGACGATGTAAACAGCAATAGAGAAAGAGGGACAAGAAGAAAAGAAAATGATATGAGATCTCTTGCCTTAAAAAATAAATTCGTCGAATGTAGCCTATAGAGAAGTGAGAGAGCATTCAAGCAGAGCTAGATATATATATATATATATATATTAAAATTTTTGTGCATAAAATTATTGAAAATATTTTAGTTTAATTTTATTTTGAAATAAAAATTTTCGATATACTGAAATTTTGAAAAGCAATTCTTTCTTTTTTTTTTCAGTCTTTAAATATTAAAATAAGAAACTTGAAGTTTTCTTTTTTTTTTTGTTCTTAACATACTTTCTGATTTTTTCTGTTTTTTTGTTCGATTTTTTTTATCATTTTCATCACCCGATGATGCTGAATGTGAACTCATTGTTGAATCATTTGGTTTATGTAAACGTTTTTTTTTTGTTGAATTCATTGATGGTACTAATTCATCATCATTATTACCAATATCATTTGATACAGGTGATGTTTTAAGTGGAAGATTTTGTGTACGATTAAATTTAAATTGTATAGGTCCTGATATACTTCCTGTATTATTCATTCGACATATACGTTCAATTTGTTCATCTTCTTCACTTTCATTACTTGATTGATCAGAATTATTCATTGTTAATTTTGATGATGTTGCATCAAGTAATGCTAATTGTTCTTCAAATTTTTTCTTAGCTAAATCTTCTGCATTATTTATATTTGTTGTTGATGTTGGTGAAACTTTTGTATTATCATTATTTATATTATTTAATTTTGTTGTTCGTACAACAGATGATGGTACAAGTTGTTCAATTGTTGTTAAACGTGAACGTGAACCTTGACGTAATATTGTTGGCATAACTGGTGGTGGTGAATGTGATAATGATATATTAGTTTTTACAATTGGACTACTTGTTGTTATTTTATCATCAAGATCATCGTATAGATTAGAAACAGGTGGTGGTGGTGGTGGTGGAGGAGGTGGTTGTTGTGCTTTTTCATCGGATGGTGGAAGTGGTGGCGGATCAGTAATTTTTTCATTTTGATTTTTCTTTGATTTATGTTGTTTCTTTTTATGTTTTCGAAATTTTTCTAAACAAGAAAAAATTTATTTTAAATCAATTTTCTTCTTTTTTCTTTAATAAGATATTACCTTCATGATTTTTTGAAATTGATTTCGAATTCTAAAAAAATATAAAATATAAATATATTATACATGTTTAATTTACAAAAAGAAAACAAAATAAAAAACAAAAAAATCTCTACTTTGAATAAATATTTAGTTTAGCTAAAAAAATGAAACAAAAAACAAAATTAAACCTATCAAAAAACAAATATATCTGAAGTAAACTCTTCATTAGAAAAATAAATATAGATAATTTAAATCAATGAAATTCTAATCTTATCTTATGAAAACACTTCAGATCATTTATAACATTAAAAAAAAAAAATTAAAACTTACATTCTTCGATTTTTTTGATAATTTATCATTTGCTGTCGGTGATGATTCTATTACAAATAGATAAAAGAAAAAATAAATTAGTAACTATTTTTTTTAAATATCTATATAAGATCCAATATGAATCGATCGGGGAAAATAGTTGCGCGAGCATACAGTTTTAGCTAGACTAAAAAAAATGCATTGTGTTATGGCACAGAGAAGAGAGAGATATATATAGAGATATATAGACAAAAAAAAAAATACCTCGTTTTTATTCTCCTGAAAAACAAAAGAAAAATTACAAATACAGTTCACAACAATCGTCTATAAAATAAAATAACACACAAAACACATTTGACAGAGAGAGAGAGAGATATGAAATAACTTCTTTTGTATTTTATATTGTTTAATTTAATATTACGAGAAGATAAAAATAAAGAAGAAAAAAAAACCATAAGTATGCATGCAAAATAAAGAAGCAAGCTAAGGACAATAGGTTAACGTGCATATTAATTTTTATTATGATTAGTAATTTACTGTATTTTAATTATAGTGCATAATATAATAACACGATTACCTCACCGTTTTTGTTCTCTGCTTTATTTTTAATATTTAACGATGATCAGTGTTTCTGCTGGCTACAAGCATATAGAGAAATAGCGATAGGAGGCAAACAAAAACAAAAAAAGAAAAAAAGAATATTCACAACAAACAAAGCCAAGAAATGTGTACATCAAATTTTCTTTTATTTCATTATTATTATTATTATTATGATTATTATTATTAAGTTTTTTTTTTTTTAAATACTTTTTATGAACAGAAAGAAAAAAAAATATATATATTATTTATAAAAAATAAATAATAATGATTTTTTTTACCTCTTGTATATGTATATGTTCAAAGACTAAAGTTGGTAAAAAAAAAATAGAGGATTGATCATTTCGAAATTTTTTAAAAAAGAAAAAAAAGTATGACAAAAACAAAGATTTAATTCAAAGAAGGCTACATGTGATACTGTGCAGCAAAATAACACAATCAAATATTTAACTAAATAAATAAATTATTTTCGTGCAATTTAGAAAAAAATAAAATAAAAGTAATTATAAAAGCAATCATGCAAAAGAGTAGCAAGAATAATACAATATATTGCCATATAATCAATCAACCAACCAATATGAAAAGAATATTTAACTATAAATATATATATAAATATATATAAATGATGAGCACCTGTTCATAAAAAGAAAAGTTCTTTCCTATAATAAGAATAGAGAGAAAAAAAATATGTCTTTGCTCGTTTGATGTTTTCTGTTGATAATTTTTAAAAGCTTTATAATAAACAATCTCACAAAACTTGCCTATCTGAAGAGCAAAGCATACAAACACACAAATTTTTCACAAAAGCATAAGGAAAAGAAGAAGCATGGTTTTTGTTAGTATAGGAAATTTGAGGCGGTTACTGATCTGCTGGACGACATATCGACATTTGACCATTGTGGAAGAAGATGATGATGATGATGGCTAATTCCATGAATAGAAAACAAAAACAGAATATGTATATATATAAACATCTTAGCATGCACAATTACATTGTGTTCAAAGTAAGCAGTAGTAATAGCAGCAGCAAAAAAAACAGAATAAACAAAGCATAGATATATATATACATAGAGAGAGAACATGCAAAGAAGATCAACAAATAAGTGATAGAATACACGCACGCCATAATGTGAATAGTTATTATATGTTAGTTTAATAGAATAGATAGTTGGGATTTATTTTTTTATATTTTAAACTGTTGATTAATCTGTTGTTTTTGCTGTTTTGTTGGGCAAATCTACGCGCGCACAACACCCACGAACAACAATAACAACAATAATAACAACATGAACAGAAAAAATGAAGAATATAAATGAAATCTTAGATCTCTCTCTCCTCCAGCCTGTTTTTTTTTTGTTTCGTTTTTTACACGCCAAGCATCATCATCCTAATATTTTTATCTTGTTTCATTTTGTTTTGAAATATATTAACTTACGGTATATAAGAAATCTCAACTGTCTTCTTCATCTTCATCTGTATATTTATGAACAGAAAAAGAGAAAAAAGAACGAGAAGAGAAAGGAGGCATATTACCTTCTTTTTTTCAAACATGATCACTAGAATAGAGCAGGCATCAACAACATCGGTATATAACTTAAATTTTCAAATAGAGAGATTAAAGTTTTTTTTTTTTTTTTTTTTTTGTGTCTCTCTATTTAATTTATAAAAAAAAGAATACAAATCCGATGTTCTTTCTATTTTTTTTTTAAATCATATAAACTTAAAAGTATTATTTTACCTTTCGATGTTGATGAGGATGCAACAACAACTGTTGGACGTATACTTGTATTGCTTGTTACAGAAGCCATCTTTTTTTTATTTTGTTTCTATTGATAAAATCCAAAAAAAAAGAAATAAATAAATTTCTTTTTATTTTTTATCATACGTAATCAACGTATTAAACAAACAAATTAAAATGGACACACAAAATTTTTATTCTCTGAAAGAAAATAAAAATTTAAAAATTATTCTAACAATTTATTTTTTAGTTTTTTATTTTTATTTACGAAAGATTTATTAAAGGAAGTTCAATGAAAGTATGCATATACAAATAAACTGTAGGTGATGATTCGAAAAAGGAAAAAAAACATGAATGACAGAAGAAAAAAACAACAACCTTGTATCATATGTTTACCATATGTAAAACACTTCAACCTCTTTATTGTTGATTTGTTTTAACGAGTATAGAACAAAAAAATTAATAGTGACATCTACATCATCAAAATGATATATTTTCAAAAAAAAATTTTATGTTGACTATTATAACAACAATAAAAAAAGAATTTCAAAGTTGATTTGTATTTTAATTTAAAATTATCATCTTTTATTTAATAATTTCAAAATTTTCGCAAATATTGTTAAATAAGCAATGAGCGAAGAGAGAATTGTTGAAGTATAATATCTTGTTTCAATCATAGAACATATTCGTTGGTCCCCAAGACTACGGATATTGTTCCGATAGTAAAAACAAAATATATATTTTATTACTCGCAATATGAGCTATCCAATATGTTATATTTATGCATCAACCTTTCTATTATTATGAAAAGACTAAAGTAGTGCATTAGGATTGATTGCAGCATATTTAAAAGAGTATCTATGAATTGACTCATGAAGTATCTCTTGAATTTTATCGAACGTTTTGTTGTCAAGGACTTAAATTATTTACCCATATATTATAAAATATTTCCTTCTATTAAATTTTATATTTCAAGTTCAATGAAAACTTCCTATATGTCTTCATCATTATTTCATTGTCCTTTTCTTTTTTTTTGCTCTTGTGTTCTCATTAGGGACAAACAATATCAATGCCGATCAAAAAAAAACAACAAAAAGAAAAAGAAAACGAAAGAAATTGAAGAAAGAGAAACGAAAGAAGTATGTTACATGGTAGAATACTTTTTTTGTTTTATCAACAAAACTGACAGGTGAAAAACGACTGTTGAAATCACAAAAAAATAATCATCATCTCCTACCATGTGTCGATGGGGATGTTACAATTATGAATCCGTAAGAAGATCTATAACTATTTAACCTTGCTTTAATTAAGATAATGCCGATATATTTTACAGACATATATGTGTAAATTTTGTGGTACACGTTATTGTTCAGAATGTCTTCGTGGTGATTTTTATGGATTAATGAAAGCTCCTGATCATTGTCGTAAATGCAATCAAGTAAAAATATTTTTATTGAAATTATTTTTCTTTTTTTTTTTTTGTCTTTCGATTATTTAATTTAGATGAAATGTCAAGGAAAACGTGTTGAAGTTGTTGTATTTGCACCCGGTACTGAACCGAAAGCACCAAAAAAATCTGGTAAAGGTGGAAAAGATTCAAGTAAAGGCAAAGCATCAGGAGGCAAAAAATCCAAAAAGAAGAAATAATTAATACAAGATGGAAAACACAGACAAAGACAAAAAAAAATATCATTTTTATGTTATGTCATCTTCTCTTTTTTTTTCTTTCTTATTCAAATTTATAAGAAAACAAAGATGAGCATATAGTGATATCAAATTACACATTTTTCTATATGCATTTTTTAGCTTATTTTCTCATTATAATATAAGAAAGCAAGACAATGTCTTAGAATCTGACTGTCTAATCAAAAGAGCAAATCATTTCGCTTCAATGACAACTGGAATATTAATGTGAAACAAAAAAAAAGAGAGATCGAGATAGCAAGAAACAGAGACACAAATGTAAATTATGCATAACATACTATCTTCACATGAACATTTATTTCAAATCAAAAAAAAAAAAAAGAAGAAATCCATCAATTATTTTAGCTCAGTAATAGTAGACAACATCGAAAAAAAAACTATATATATATATTTGAATAGATATGTCTGATCTTGATTTATGCATATTTTGAAAAGGCTTCTTCCAAAGTGACAGAAAAATATTATAATCTTTTGTCATTCTTGTTTTTTTTTATCACTATCGAGTTTCATATTTAACAGTTACTAAAAAAGAAAATATTAACATTTGATCAAAAAAAAAACGAAGCAATCTATTTTGTTATTGTTTTTCTTATTGTCCGGCAATCATTCAGACAGTTAATATCAGTGCAAGTGTCGCCAGTGGGCGACCAGCTTGCGAAAATCGTCGTCGTTCTGCTCGTCTTTCTACGAGTTCAACGACAATACCAGCACGTCCATCAATGCCTTTAATAACAAATACAAAAAAATCTTCTTCAACTAATAATGGTTCAACATCAAATACAAATACACAACGAGCAACATCAATTGAAGGTATTGGTGATACAATTATATCAACATTTAATAAAGAATCATCAAGTGGTTTCAATTATCAAAGTTTAAATGAATCAACACCATTAAATGTATCAAAAACAAAAAAGAAATTACCTATACGTTCACATAGTTCAACAAATGCTGAACTTAGTTATCATTTACAACAATTAAAAAATATCGGTAAACGAAAACCAACAATTGTTAGTAATGATCGAAATAATAATAACAATAATAATAATAATAATAATAACAATGAAGAACGTATTTATTTAACATCATCAAATCTTAAAGTTGAATGTGATGATAATAAAACAGAAACATCCATACATAAATCAATGGAAATTGAAAAACTAGAATTACCTTTGTCATGGAAACCAACTAAACAAAAAATTACTATTGAAAGAGATTCATGGGATCATAAAATCGAATTTCTTCTTGCAGTTATTGGTTATGCGGTTGATTTGGGTAAGATTTATTTTTTCGTATATTTTTAAATGTTAATATATACATATTTTTTTAAATTTAAGGTAATGTTTGGCGTTTTCCAACAGTTGTTTATATGAATGGTGGTGGAGCTTTCTTTATACCATATTTTATTCTTTTAATATTCGGTGGATTACCTCTATTCTAGTATGTTTATTTTTCTTTTGTATTCTAAAAATCTTAGGGTTTTTTATTGAATAGTATGGAACTTGCTCTTGGTCAATATCATCGATCAGGCGTTTTTACTGTTTGGAAATATGTAAGTTTCTTTTTGGTGAAAAACGATCTAAAAAAAGATGATACTGATTATATGTGCTTATCTAGCATCTTTTACTCGTAAGATTTCTGAAAAAGTAGATTTTCTATTGAATTTTTTAACAAAATTTTGTAGCTTTCCTCAGGTCACATTGAAATTTAACTTTTGAGTTTTGACTTAAAATTTTGCACAAATAATGTTCTCAGTGTGAATAGTTCATTGTGAAAGTTACAGCTTTTTTCTTTGCTCATCTCTTGAGATATGAATATAAGCACAAAATTTACTTTTGCACAGAATAAAATTTTGGATATGCGTATCTCATGACAGAATCAACGAAAAACAGCTGAAACTTTCACAATGAATTAGTCATATTGAGAACATTATTTATAGAAAGTTTCAAGTCGAAACTCGAAAGCCAGCTTTCAACATAAGCTGAGGAGGTACTACGAAGTTTTGTTGAAAAATCTAGTAAAAAATTCGATATCATACGAACAAGTGTCTGGAAAACAAAATCATTCTCGCATTTCTCAACGCTCAACAGTACTGATCGAATGACTATAGTTTCGATCCAGAAATGATTTAGCACTTGAAAAGGTTCCCTCATGAGTTATCAATGTTTCCCGATGAGAACTACAAAGTTAGAAACTATGTATGGATTATGTTTAAAACCAAACAATCAATGTAAAAACTTTGAAAATGTGTATCTTGGAGTTTCTATTAACTATTGAAAATTTAATCGATCTGACAGATAAGTACAAACTATTATGAATGGGTTTGCGTCGAAGGTTAAGTTTGACACATCGTATCTCAATAGGGGCTTAGATCTGTATCTTTGCACATCTACAAAAGTTGATTGATGACGTGCTCTATTCGATAGTAAATTAAAATTTAAATGTAAGTCCCGAGAAAATCTGGCGAAAGAGTTGCATTATTCACCAATCATTATTTTTCAGTATATTACAAGTAGATTTTTATACTATTGGAGTAGAAGGAACTTCATGAAGTGCAAAATATCTGTAGTATATAGTAAATATATAACGCTAAATGACTGTATAATATCTAATGAATGTAATTAGAACTTCAATTTGAAACATACACTTTACTTGTTTGACCCTATTAGTAATGTTCATCTATTTCACCTACTTTGTAATAACTGCCGGAAGATGATTAGTCATCTTGGAATCAAAATCTAAGGTGCAGTTAAATGTATATACATAGCAGCTTCAATGTCAGCTATAACAGAGGTTCAAATCTCAGAAATCGATTTTGTCACCTAGCTGTCCGCTGTGCTCCCCACTCTACAGATTGTGATAAACGTTACTGTAGAAACGGCTCATCACAGACATCTTACAAGAGAACTACCCCAAGTGACACCCGCCATTTGAATCCATATTGAATCCAGAAGGAAGCCTTGGTGAGACTAGCAAAAGCCTAAAATTGTTCGTCCTCATTAACCTTTTGCACTTAGTTATGGCCGATTTTCTGGATTTTCGACTCATTTGTAGGCAGTTCCAAAGAAAACTAAACAACGGTGTTTTGATCTAAAATTCTGTCTATAGATAGATCTAATGATTCTTAGAATATCCTGATAATTTCAGTTGCAAAGAACGTTCCTTCATCAAGTTATTGAATGTTCAATTGAACTTAATTTTTGTGATATACATGTGACAAAAGGCTATTTTTGGAAATTCTATGTCTTGACGAAGGAATGTTCTTTTCGGCTAAAATTATCGGGATATTCTAAGTCAGTAGATCTATCTATAGATAAAGTTTGAAATCAAAATTCCATGATTTGAATTTTTGGAGACTATTACAAAAGATTCAAAAATTCAATCCACCTAGTATAACTCGCCTGCGAAGGTCCATGGGGACGAACTCTTATAGATTTTTTTTAGTCTCACCGAAACCTCCTTCTGGTCATACTATGAGCTCGAATGGTAAGTATCAATTCGGGTAGTTTCCTGATTAGTAAACTCAGCGTCACAGATCGTGACAGACCTTGTTGATATGCAATCAAAGACCGTATATTAATAATGTCTCATTCTAATATAGGAACTATTTCCTTGTTACATTTCTGAAATATTCAGTAGAAGCATGATGATGAAATGTTTCTTACAATAGATAGCATAAAGCAATCTTCGTGTGATGAGCAGCAGGTGTTACATCATGGTTCAAATTGAGCTAAAAGCTGTTTTTGTTTCATGTTGAAATATTAGATTGAATAATTTATTTTTCATTCATAGATTTGTCCATTGGTAAAAGGAGTTGGTTGGGCAACATTATTAATTAATTTCATGATGGCTATGTTTTACAATACAATAATCACATGGGCTGTTTTTTATTTAGTTAAGTCATTTAATAGTATTGGATCTGAATTACCATGGAAACATTGTGGTCATCCATGGAATACTGAATGTTGTGTTCCAGCTGATATAACAGAATATCAAAATAACTTAACATTAGCTAATTTAACAAAACAAATATTCAATAAAACGATGATTAATTGTACACGATTTGTTTATTCAACTGAAGAATATTTTTAGTAAAGTTTAGATTAGATTTTGGTTCTTTTTTTTTTTTTGATAAAAATTTTTTGTTATTTTTCTTTTCTTTCAAGTCGACAACTTCAAGAAGTAGATAAAGCCGATGGATTTAATAATTTAGGAAAAATTAAATGGGAACTTGCTCTATATCTATTTATTGTCTTTGTTGTTGTCTATTTTGCACTTTGGAAAGGAATTAAAAGTTCTGGAAAAGTAATTTTATATTAATTAATATACAACAATATTTCTTTTTCTTTTGTTGTTGTTGTTTTTTATTAGGCAGTATGGATTACTGCTGTAGCACCATATATTGTTCTAGTAATATTATTAATTCGTGGTGTTACTCTTTCAGGTGCATCACTTGGAATTAAATATTATCTTGAACCGAAACTGGAATTATTAAAAAGTTTTTCTGTAAAAATAAATTATCATTGTCAAATAAATATTATATGTAATTGAATTTTCTAGATTTGGAATGCGGCAGCAACACAAATATTTTTTTCACTTGGACCAGGTTTTGGTGTTCTATTAGCTTTATCATCATATAATAAATTTCATAATAATTGCTATCGGTAAAAAAAAATAAGATTTTTTTTTGAGTATGATATATCATTATGTTGTTCTAGAGATGCATTAGTAACTAGTACAATTAATTGTGCAACATCAATTCTAGCTGGTTTTGTTGTTTTTTCAACACTTGGTCATATGGCTAGTGTATCACAAAAGACAGTTGAACAAGTTGTTGAAGATCAAGGTAAATATTAAATATTTAACAAAATTGAAATAAATTTATTATTTAAAATAATAGGTTCAGAACTTGTTTTTATTGTTTATCCACATACAATTGCATTAATGAATTGGTCAACATTATGGTCAATTCTTTTCTTTTTTATGTTAATCACTTTAGGCATTGATAGTACAGTAAGAATTTTAATTCTTTTTAAATGTTGAAATGACTATTTTTTTTAATTTTTTATTGAATTTAGTTTGGTGGTCTTGAATCAATTATTACTGGTTTATGTGATGAATTTCCAAATAAATTTGGACGTCATCGATCTTTATTTGTATTAGGTGTTCTTGTTATATGCTATTTGGGAGCATTACCAACATGCACTTATGGTGGTGATTATATTGTTAATTTAATGAATGAAATTGCTGTTGCACCTGCTATTCTTCTTGTTGTATTTATTGAATGTATTGCTGTTTCATGGTTTTATGGTAAAATTTTATTTTATTAAAATAAATTATTTATTGAAAATTTATTTTAGGTGTCAATCGACTTGCAGATGATATTAAATCAATGATTGGTACAAGACCATCTTTATTTTGGCGATCAATTTGGTATATTATTAGTCCATTATTTTTACTTGTAAGTAATACTGTTTAGGCTATGATTTAAGTGGTCAGTAAAATAAATAATTAAAAATGATCAGTTTATTCTACATAATTAACAATTTACTGCCTGCATGATATAGAAAATAAATAATAGTAAGATCTTTCATTTACATTTATTTCATCATTTTCTTTCACAATCTCTTGTTCTGATACGTCACTTTCATATTGAATAATTTTTACCTTGTATATCATTTTCACTCGTTGACTCTAAGCTAAAATCAGAAGAAAAAATAGAACCAAAGAGTACGTCTATGTATATTGTACATAGTATCTGTACTGTATGATACAAAGAAACGAAGAAAAGCAAATGAATCACACTATAACACATTCCAATTTCTATATTTACCCATTGATTAACAAGAGAAGTCCT